CAGTCAAAATTGGATGGTAATTGCAACAAATTTAACCTAATGAACAGTAATACATGAAAAGGAATTTTGCCATCAAATTTAAATTTATGCCATGAAATTGTTTAAATGAACATTTTAAATCCTGTATTTATGAGGTGCTTGAATTTTAGAGGAAAACTCTTTTATATTCCAGGAAACTAAAAGCCCACCTTTTCTAAACTAGAGAGCTCACTATCTCTCTCATATTACGCTACATAACTTAATCTCTCTGAATCTCCTTAGCTATGAAAAATAATGAAATAGAATAATGTTTGTAAAGGACTAAGAACAAGGATAAGAACACTGAAATAGAATAATGTTTGTAAAGGACTAAGAACAATGATAAGCACAGAATAAATCTGCTCTAAATACTAGTTAATATCTATCATTGCTTATGTCATCTGAACCTTGTTAAATGTGATCCCACAGGCACACAACATTTGTGTGTTGAGTGGTTGTACTGATCACCTCATCTCTTGTTTCAGCTAAAAAGATGTCACAAGAATGAATTGAATGATTCTTTTCTTCTCCTATGACTACCCTTCTCCTATGACTACCTTGATTTTATTATTCAAGGAAGCTCTTCTTTTTCTAGTTCAACAAAAGTTTGATTTGAAAGTGACCCAATATCCTACTAGATCCCCACCTCAACACACACAAAGAGAATTGACATATTATTCTTAGCATTGTACATCTAAGAGGAAATTGTCCTTCCTAAATAGGGTTCTTAGGAAACAGGAAGCTGATCCAGTTCTTTTTGTAACAAATAACAAATTGAAGTTATTCATTAAGAAGCTTCATACTAAAGAGGGTCATTATCTTCATTTATAATCTCAAATATCAACACAAAAAAAATCACCTTTTTCAGCTGGGTGTGGTGGCTCATGCCTGTAATCCTAGAATTCTGGGAGGCCAAGCCAGGAGGATTGCTTGAGCTCAGGAGTTCAAGACCAGCCTGAGCAAGAGTGAGATACCGTCTCTACTAAAAATAGAAAAATTAGTGGGGGGTGCAGTGGCACTCGCCTGTAGTCCCAGCTGCTCAGAAGACTGAGGCAGGAGGATTGCCTGAGCCCAGGAGTTTGAGGTTGCAGTGAGCTATGATGATGCCACTGCACTCTAGCAGGGGTGACAGAGTGCAATACTCTTGTCTCAAAAAAAAAAAAAAAAAAATCACCTTTTTCAAACTTCTTCAGTTTAGAGAAAGAGTTCTATTTAGAAGAGGGCCTCCAAACTAAAATATACTAACATGATTAAAGGCCATCTTGGAAGTAAAGTGATTTTGCAGTATTCCTAATTTGTAAAAACTTACTAAGTGAATCTAAAATGTAAGATTTCAAAGAAATCTGTTTTACAAAAACATGTATTTATGTGAAAAGAAGTAGTCTTGGAAAATATGTATGTTTATATAATACAAATAGTAATAACATCAAACACTCATATAACACTTATGAGCAGAGTGTTGTTCTATAACATGCTTTCATATATTAATTCATTTATTCCAACAAACACATCTCTAGGCTGTGGGAAAAATTACAGAAAGTACAAGTGTTTTTTGAGAAAAAGTGTAAAGAAAATATCATCCAACTGTCATGTTTCTAGGCTGCTTACACCAGGCACTTAAGGACAATGGTGGCCTGTGACCTAGTTATCAAAGGTTGCCTCAGATTTCTACCCGTCAACTAAAAGTTGGGGTTCAATTGACCATCCTGAATTGCATAGCCACCCTTTCATATTCTAAAACACTGTTTAGAATGCAGGACAGTGTGTCTGGAATTGAGTGCAATTGAGTTCCATGTGTTTCCACCCAGGGGGTTGTCCCTGATCTAGTTTTAACATGTACAGTTCCCATCAGGAGGCTTGAGTGGTTTCATCAGTTGTCCACCAATTTTCAGCCAGGAAAAGTAACAGCATTATGTAAAAGGGGAAAAATAGCTTGAATATTCTTTTTATAACTGAATTGGGAAAAAGAAAAGCCACCATTTATATTCTACTTTATGCCAGGCATTATTATAAGTGGCTAAAATATATTAATTTTAGTTCTTGCAACAACCCTGAAAAATAGGTACTATTTTAATGTCAACAGTAAAGAACCCAATAATCAGAAAAAAATGCTAAGATAGCATCTAAGGTAGAATGAAGGATGTCCCTTGTTAGAACTCAGGGTATAAACTTTCTATTTTTGCTTTCAGAGCTTTGAGCAGTGGGTATACAGTAAGACTCAATAATACTTGATCAATGATGAAATTGACAACGCACCAAATATACAACTTCCCTCTTCATTAAGATTTCTGAGTGGAACCACATGGTAATTCAAATTTATGAAACACTTGATAAAAGGAATCATTTATTTATTAGTGCTCAAGAAGATTCCAAATTTTTCCTGTTTGTTCCATTGACAGCCTTAGAAAGGTATTAATACTTAATAAATATGGTACATTTTCAGAGAAAAAGCCATTGTTTGAATATGGAGGGAGGGTCAGAGTGATTGGAAAGCTTTCCTGTGTAAATACTCACAGAAAATGAAATACCCAGAAGATTTGGGCAACATACCTGTAAAAGTAATTGTGCATCTCTTTACAAAGAACTGCTTTCACTTGCTTAACAAAAAGCAAATATGCAGAGCAGATAATCTCCATTTTGGAATGTTAACCTCAATATGTCTTCTAAAGAGCCAGTATCCCAAAATATGACATACTGACATCTGAAATGATTTTTATCAAGATATAGCTAACAACATCCAAAGTCTAATAACATCAGCAACTACAATTATTGTCCATATTATATTTGTATTCAAGATGAACAGCAAGCAGGAAAAAGATTTAAGAAAATCAGCATATTAAGGAACAATGACCTGTAGGAGGGGGCACCCTATACTGAAATATTCAGATTTAAATAGGATTAGGATTTTAAAAAATCCATTTCCCAAAAAATGTTTGAAAATAGAAAATGTATAAACTAAGAATTTCATTAGAAGTTGTCACATAAATAGAACCAATTCTGTCACAAGGGCCAACTCCAAATGAAACATTAAAAATGGGCATTTAAAAAATTACAGAGAGTTGATGGAAAAGAACTAATGCAGAAAGAGATTTAACCTACAAAATGCAATATAAAAATAGAAACTACTCATGGAACATACACTATCAAGACCAGGAAAGATACGATCACAAGATTAGCTTACGATGAATTACTCCATTGACCCAATATAATTTGAAGTTCTTGTATTAACAGGAATTGATGAATTGAAAACTAAGGAGCAAGGAAGGAAACACTGAAGGAGAGGATAAGAAATTAAACTAGGTTTGGTACAAGAGGTATTAAAGTGCTGTCGTTAGCTACAGTCAGTAGCTGCTGTCTCTTATACTTTGGGCAACAGGCTTTAGTGTAGTAGAACAGAATCGAAATTTAAAGAACTAGCCCATGCAGGCAGCAAGACAAACAGGGTTCTTGTTTCTTAAAGGTTATCTTTTTTATGGGGAGATGCAAGCTATACATTAATGAATGAATAACAAATGGATAAGTAAACATCATTTTTTCAGATAGTGATAGTGTGGCAAAGAAAATAGAAGCAGAAAGATGATCTGGAGTATGGCTATTAACAAGCTGCTATTCGCTTTCCATTGTGCTATGGTATTTAACAAAGCAGGCAAAAGTCAGGTGAGCCCAGGCTCATGCCTATAATCCTAACATTCTTGGAAGCTGAGGGGGAAAGATCACTTGATCTCAGGAGTTCAAGACCAGCCTGAGCAAGAGCAAAACCTTGTCTCTACCAAAAATAGAAAAAATTAGCTGCGCGTGGTAGGAGGTGCCTGTAGTCCCAGCTACAGGAGTCAGGAGGATCACTTGAGCCCAGGAGTTTGAGGTTGCAGTGAGCTATGATGATGTCACTGCACTCTACCTGGGGTGACAGAGTGAGACTCTGTCTCAAAAAAAAAAAAAAATGAATAAAAAGGAGAAGATGACAGAATGGTTATCTCCCTCTTTCTCTCTTTCTTCTCCCCCACCATCCTGTTCTTGGCTCCAGTGTCCCCAGAGAAAAAGTGAAACAGTAAACTAGTCTATAAGGAATGATTAATAAGACCTACAAAAAAAATGGATCATTTAACTAAGCTTGAGAAGAAAAGAAAAAGTGACAATTTTAAGGGCAATTAGAGCTCTCACCATAGATTTCCTAGGTGCTCACGATAAGGACTCTTTATAAAGAGGATGATAGCTTATTAGACAGCGAAAGGATTCAGGCCAGGGAAAAATCAGAAAGTACTGTAATTAGTAAGAACCTGTGTAGTTTTCATCACTGTGTTAATACTATTTAAAATACTGGAAAAATTGACTACCCTCAAGAAAACACTAATTGGGAAAACAAAATCAACTGCACACACACCCCAATGTACAAAGACCAGACTTTGCTATATGAACAATCCATGCATCTCAGAGGAGATAAGATACAAAAACAAATGTCCTCGTAAGGAAGATTAACACCAGAAAGGTTGGGCACGTGAGCATAGGAGAAATAGGGAGGAAAATTTGAGGGTAGGAGAAGGCAGAGAGATGGCACTGATATAATGACAAAAAAGCAATAACTTATTTTTAAAATTTAACATAGAGATAGTGAGAATACCAATGAAAACAAAAGCAGGGTCTTGGCAAAAGGGCCAAGGATGGTGTCATGGAGTGACCATATCTGTCCAGACAGCCAACAGGGACTGGAGCTGGAGTAATTGAATGGATGATCATCAGAGATCTGATGATGGT